ACCCTACCCAGGGGGACAACTTGAGGCTCTGTCTCAAAAAAAAAAAAAAAATAGGCAGGCATTGTGGCAGGCATCTAGTGTCCCAGCTACTTGGGTGGGAGGCTCAGGCAAGAGAATCGCCTAAGCCCAAGAGTTGGAGGTTACTGTGAGCTATGTGATGCCATGGCACTCTACCAAGAGCGATAAAGCGAGACTCTGTCTATATAAAAAAAAAAAAAACCAAAACCTATCTTTGGCAGCTTACTAGCAGTTTGACTTGGGAAAACCACTCTACTTTCTGAGCCTGTTTACTGATTTGTAAAATGGAGACAGTAAGAACCCCTGCCATCTGTTGTGAGGGTCACAGCGGGTGACACATGTGAGAATCCCCTGCACACTAAAATGTGCTTTACCAGTGTTGAGTCTTTGACATTATTCTGGGTGTCATACCTGAGATCACCAGGTTGTGATCTGAACTGGTTCACTTCCCTCTATACAAACCTGGATGAAGAGGTTGCGGTAGACCCGGGTGATATTGACGCTGTGGGGCTGGCCATCAGTGACTGGGCGGGTGGTCAGCTGGTACACATAGGGACTGGTGCCCAGCTGATAACGTAGCTGCAGGGTCCCTGTGGGGGTGGGGAGGAGAAATTTGGGGTCTCAGCTCCCATGGCCTCATCTTCTAAGGACACTTCGGGTCCTTGTATTAGTGACTAGTTACAGGAATTAGGGCACCTGGGGGACACTGGCATTGAGGGAGAGCTCACCATCTTCCTTGATGAGCACAGCCATGTAGTCACGCACAAAGGAGCTGACGTAGAGCAGGACGGCAGGGGCGGAGTTGGTGCTAAAGCTGAAGGAGACCTCCTCCCCCGTAACATTGTAGACAGGCCCTCGGTAGCCAGGCACAGGCCGGCCAGGCCGGGGGTAGTCAGGCAGGCGGTATCCAGGGCCATGGTAGCCAGGCACATAGCCTGGAGTGTCATAGCCTGGGATATAGCCAGGCTCGTAGCCTGGCACTGGCCGGCTCAGCATGTGGGAAAATTCTCGGGCTGCAGAGCGCAGGGCCGACTGCAGGTTATAGCGCATCCAGGTGCCCGGCTCAAAGAAACCACCAATATCTGCAGGCAGAGGCAGTGAGGTCAGGGCCCCCACATTCCTTGCTACTAAATGTGGAAGTTTTCTGTGCCATCCACATATACTCCCAAGACTTGCCTCATTTTCTGCCATGCTCATAACTCTCCGTCTACTACTACTTAGGTCCCCTTGAGACCCTCTATCACAAAACGGAATTTCATGGCCAAGAGAAACTTGAGAGATCATCTAATCCAGTGGTTTTCAACCTTCCTAATGCCCTCATATGAGTGGGGGTCACCACAACATGAAGAACT